CGCGGTCGGTTTGTTCCAGGATCCCACGCAGCTCCTCCTCCTCGGCAGTTATCAGGCAACAACGTCGCTCCAACAGGACGATCTGTTCTTTCAGCTGATTGGTCAACTGGACTTTATCTTCCAGATCCACCTGCTGCTCTTTAACCTGCGAGAGGGCACAATACAAGATGTAGAAACCATGTTTCTACAGTAGCCCATTACGGACAAAACCAAACAAAACTTGTTTTTTGTTGAGTTTGCGGCAACCATAGTTTCTCCTACACACTTGGAACCCTGGGACAATGTGTTTGTGGTTTATGGTCTTAGATTATATTATATTAATGTGGATCAGATGGGACTACCTGTGTCTGTAGGTGTCTGATGAGCCTCTGGCTCTCGGCTGCCTGTTTGTTAGCGTGTCCCAGTTGAACCTCCATCTCGTTCAGGTCCGACTCCATCTTCTTCCTCAGACGAACCGCCTCACTGCGAGTGCGGACCTCCGCCTCCAAGCTGGCCTGCATTGCCTCCATAGAGCGCTGGTGGCTTCGCCTGATGGACACTATTATTACTTTCACTACTTCCTTGATAGGTTTAAAGTTTTGTTCTCTGCTATTATACTAGCTTCTGATTGGCTGCTGTTCTTCAACTACTTCCTCTTCCATTATTTACACTACTTATTATTTAGTACATTTGGTACCTGAGGTTGTCGATCTCCTCATCTTTCTCTGCAATCTTGCGCTCGATCTCAGTCCTTATCTGCTGCAGCTCCATCTGAAATCTTAAGGTCTTAGTCTCCTCGTGCTCCAGAGTACCCTGGTTGGTAGAGAGTTGGAAGGTGCAGTAGTTTAGTAAAGTCAGTAAAGAGTGCACAGTAGATCTACAGCAGGTGGGTCAGTTACCTCTGCCTCCTCCAGAGCCGCTCTGATATCACTCTTCTCTACATCGAGGATCTTCTTCATCCTCTCCAGCTCATGAATGGTCTTCCCTCCCTGACCAATCTGATCTGTGAGGTCCAGTATCTCCTCTGGATTCAAACATTCAGTACATTTATCAGTCAATCACAATGTTCATTTAGGTGCGTAACAAATTTCAAGTAAATCTACAAAAGAAAATGCACTGAATGCTTGTTTCCATCCACTACTGTTATGCAATAATTCAGAGTTGGTTCACGAGAGAAAAGCACCTCTATATCAGAGTTAGCCTAAACTCTGATATAACATTATCTGTGACCATTGTTAGACCGGCTTCAAGATTTTTCTAATGTAACCTCTAATCCCACAACTGATATATACTATGTTGGAGGTAATGGTCAGTTACTAGTTAGCATGACAAGCTCACGTTTGAAGCTCACATTAGAGCAGCCAATGCACTGTTTTATCGTCGTAATCGGCCTTCATTTCCATGAAGAGATTCTCAAGATTCTGAGATTTAAAGCCTGACGTTAAGCGCTCACCTTGCATAAGTTATCTATGTGGCTACTCTAACTGAAGACGGAGTGAGGGTACCTTGCAGGTTCTTGTTTTCTCGTTTAACTGTCTCCAGATGGTCCATAGCTTCTTCGTAGCAGTTCTTCAGTTTGAAGAGCTCAGTGCTCAAACTGCGGGACTCTTTCTGCGACGCCTCCAGCTCCGTCTGACTCTCATCAAACTTCAGCTTCCAGTCGCTCAACAACTGCATCGAACAAAAAAGCACAATATGCACAAACTTGTTTCTACGCTTATCTTACTACCACCTACTACAGGTGCTGAGTATCACCTTGTTGAACTGACCTTGTCGAAGCTGCGTTGCCTCTTGTCCAGAGCCAGAGCAGCAGCGTTGGATCGCTCCAGTTCAATCACCAGGTCTTCAATCTC